AGTACCTACCGTATTTTACTTCCTGAATCTAAATATACCATTATTTTTCACCGCTGATGAATATTAGGTACTCAAGATATCACCTTAAAAATATACACCATTAGAATAAACGAGGTAGGTCAGATGACATTATATACAAGTAGTGGGTGAAGTAAGCCTAGGCCTACAGCTGATTGTTTTCAATCATAGTCAAGCAACTGGAAGTGACAACTTTATTAGTTGACTCTGATTCGGCGATTTGAAAATCACCTACACTTTTCACATCTTAAAACAATAACAATAAATCAGTCCCAAATTACGTTAAGTGTAGTTGCCGAATTTAATGTAATTTATTATTGTTACCAGTATTTTATTCTTATTGATGAATTATAGCCTATGTCACCTTTTAGGAATTAAATGATAAAATGGTGCTGTTCTAACATAACCTTTTTCGAACCTCTAGAATGTTGGCAAACTCCTTTTGATGTCAGAAAAGGCATGTCAGGGTGGACGGTCGGGCTTTATGCGAATTCGGTAAACATAGTCATTTGAAGGTAGGTTAGATGAGGTAAAGGTAAAGTTTAGGTTAGTAGATTCCCTCTTATCCGGACTACACTTGGCGGAAATGACACCTTTTTAAGCGGACAATTTTTATCAGCACATTGGTTTAACCGGACTAGATCGGCAGGAAGTGGGCAGCACTGAAACGACTGTTCTCGTAGGAAAGATTTGAGACCAGTGATCACGTGTCTAAATACAATGCTCTCCTAAATTTAAGTCGAATATCACAGTAAACAGTCCGTTTTAACGAGTTTTTGGGGTCGTCGGTTTCACCGCAAAACCCATTATCCGGACTGGCCTCGGTCCCGAGGAGTTCGTATAAGAGGGAGTCTACTGTAATGAATCGAGTTGTTGGTTTAAATGTTACCTACAGTCTGTTATTGTTCCAGAGTGTCCACAGAAATTTTTCATTAATTTCCCTGACTTTCCATGACCATTAACCATTGATTTCCATGACTCACGAACTTAACTCAAAAATTATAATATACCGTACACACACGAATAATACTGCCTAGACAAGTTATTTCACAGAAAATATTGAAATATGTAGGTAACATTAACAGATAACAATGGAGTACAATAGGTACAACAATGAACTAATACAAACTCAAAACCCATAAACTAAGAAAACTGTATAAATTGAAATTGTCGTACATTTGTGAAAAATTCGGAAAAATGCTACTATAGTCGGGGTTACGGCCGACTAGAGCATTGAAAGGTCCCCTGAAATACATCCAACATTGGGGATTTCCATGACTTTTTGCCTATTTCCATGACTTTCAATGACCAGATTTTTTTTCCATGACTTTCCAGAATGTGGACACCCTGTGTTCAATTAATTAATCATTGAGAAAAACACTGTACCTAATGTAGGGTACGGTACTATTTAAAAAACTCAAGTAGCCTATTTTTTAATTAATACTTTACGGCGTTTTTCTCAGGGTTTTAATTGTAGCCTACAAAAACAGACTGTAGGTAACTTAACGTAAACTAACAACATTATTCATTATAGGCTAGGTTAAACTAAATTTTACCTTCCACATCTAACCTAACTTCAAAACACTTGTAAAGCAACACTCCAAGAATTCATATAAAGCTCGACCAATGTGACGATATTCCCGTTTTATAGAGAACATTATTGTCTACCTCTACAGAATCACTTGAAATATTTAGTCAATGATAATATTTTATAAGTTAATAAACGATGTTACTCTTCTCATTAATCTATGTTACTCTCTACACTTAAACTAAGCTTAACGTAGCCGTCAGACTAGCAACAGTAGCAGCACAGTATTGGTTTTGGTATTCAACTATTCTAGTTCTGGTTGTAGTTGTAGTGAAGTGATGTGTTGTCATTAGGCCTAGGCTGAATGCCGATCAGAATCAGAGTTAGGCTAGTTAGATCTTCCAGATTGCTTGTCGTGTGGTTGAAAACAATCAGCTGTAGGCTTACTTCACCCACAGTTCATTCCACTTGTAAAAGTCATGTAAAAGTCATCCATCCTACCTTGCTTGTTCTGGTAGGAAATACTTTACCAGGTACTAAATTATACAGTACTTTGTTGTTTAGCTCTACAAAATGGTTTAGAAAGAAATCTTACAAAATTGTATATTAGGGTAAAAGCCCTCCATAAATCCCCGTTGCCATAGTCCGATCATGCTGGTTCGCAAAATCGTTGGAATTAATGTAAGCTTACAGATTTATACCAAATTTAATCAAAATTGGATGACGTTAGCCCAAGTTATTGTGCTAACGCACATTGTATAAGTAAGCCTACCGTATCTAGAACTTATTTTGGAGTACAAAACAATTTCTTTTTGAATGATGTTGAGCTCGAAGCAACTGATCTGAAAGTTAAGTTTCTTCGGATTTTACTTAGCTTGACAGAAACCTGAGCTTTCATGCCCATATTGACAATGTGCTTAAGGTAGAAGGATTTCTTTAAGAACCTTTCTCCTCAGCCCAGTGCATATTTTAAGGGATTTCCAATGGGCGACAGTGGCGCCGGACTTACAGGGAGGCCTAGGGGGTATGGAATTAAAAAAGGGGGTCAAGGGAAATTTGTGCTTAAGTTAAAGTGAAAATCACACATTTCTACGTATCTTTCAATAAATTTTTCGAATATATTTCTTGTAAATAGTCCAAATAGGCTTAATCTCAAATAACTACGTATCCTAGAACGTTGTACAGGCCAAGGCTCCCTTCACAACCTCTTGGGCCAAAATCATAGCTCAATAGGCCTACTCTAAAATATTTATGAATCATATAAAAATATGCCGGCGTCACCTATTTGTACTACCGTACAGTGTTGGGAAGTAGCGCGCTACAAGTAGCGACGCTACAGTAGCGCGCTACTTTTTTTGTAGCGTTAGCTGTAGCTACGCTACTTTTAAGATTTTGTAGCTTTAGCTGTAGCTAGCTACATTTTTAAAGTAGTTGTAGCGGAATTTTAGCTACTTTTCTCGCTACATTAACATTTGTTTGAGATAGTGATTTTTATCATAACCTCAACCTTACGTGAAACAACCTCTTTCAGACTGAGATTTTCAAAAAAATTTGGCCTACTTTCTTGGCTTCAAACAGCTGGTTGCAGCCGTTTCATTCCCTATTACAACGTTGTGTGGACATAGAGGCCATTAAATGAGTGTTATCCACATTTTTGGCTCTCATTTCCTTAATTTACTAGTCTATGATTACTGTCAGATAAAATAAAATCGCTAGATGCAGACGACGTTTAAACGGTACCGGTGACAAGAGAAGCTATTGAATTGAATGCTTGCAAGTGATTGACAGGACAGGGGAATTAGTAATCAATTTAGTTTCTTTATTATATCGATAATGCTTGAACTTTGGGTTTAATGGAAACCAACACACCTTGAAATAATGAGAAAGCTGGTCTATCAACCTTTGCTTCAGCTGTTGATTGTGGTTTATCATCACAAGCCCTTCCTTGGTTAGATTACGAAGATTTTTCAAAGGTTTACTAAATTAGCAAAGAGGAAATTACCTGATGAGATTTAAGATATGCCTAGACTACATGATAATTGTAATGAAAAAATCTCCATATAACATGAAACTTACATTGAAAAAATAGCATAGTTTGCTCCTGCTAACAGCTCATGTATAGGACTGAGGCTATGGTTTAAGACGAATACCAAACCAAGTTCAATTATTATGAATATATCTGTTTAGTCCTTGCAAGAACAAGCCTACTATAGCCAACTTGTTACATAGCCAAGTAGGCCTACATGTTATTTTTACTTTACAAATTTCATCATGTTTAAATTAAAAGCCGATTTCAGGATAAGTTGCTGAATACTGTTTTCTCTACCAACTAGGTTGAAGCACAATTTGCCCTATGCATAATGACAATAAAAGACGATTTCTTGACATTGAAAAGTGTTATTCATAGAATAAGTAATTTATCACTTTAAAAGTTATAGCAATGTTGTTTTTAACATTAAAAGTAAAGAAAGGCAATAAACTCCAATTTCAGTAGGCTAGGCTCTGTAACACAAAAAGTATTTTTAAATAATCTTTTTGCAGTTTTATTGGTCTTAATTGTTGATATAAAACATCTATAAATGAATCTATATTAAATTAATAAAATTAGCTTTTAAAATATAGTTTGGTTGTATGTCCTTTGAACTTAATGAAAATTACATTTTAAGATGCTTAAAAATAATTACTAAATATGATGGGACACCCAACTATTTGGTTCTGTTGTTGTAATGTTAGGTTTATAATGCCAACAAATTAAATACAATCTAGAAATAATTTGTTTTCCAAGTAATGTTAGATACAATACTGACATTTTTTTAAATGTTTGTTTCATAAAAATGTAGTTGCAATTAATTTTACATTTACCTAATGTGCGTGGAATAAAAATTAACGTCTTTGGAAAAGTAGCTAAAATTGTAGCTGTAGCTACATTTCATTGTAGTTGTAGTTGTAGCTAGCTACTTTTTCGGAACTGTAGCTGTAGCTGTAGCTAAGCTACTTTTTTGGAAATGTAGCAGTAGTTGTAGCTAGCTACATTTTAAAAGTAGCTTCCCCAACACTGCTACCGTATATCAAATCAATTATTTGTTTGACGTAGCCTATTGTTTGTTATGTAACTGAATGGCCAATAAAATCATTTGAAAGTTACTACCTAGGTTAAGTTATGCATTTGATATTCTTCTATGAATTGGCCCATGTCATTCCCAATGATTATAGCCTATACTATACTTGGAAGGTTAGACCTATTTTAGCTTAACTTATAGGTCAAGTTTTGATACATCAATATTTCCATAAATGTACCTATCAGAACATTCTTATGATTACACTTATATATTCTAGGGGAATGTTAAATTTCATCAATTAAATAACATCACAAATACGACAGCTTGGCAATATTAGCCTATGTGACCCAACTCAGTTTGTTATCATGGATTTTTTAACTTTAGGTCAGACTCACCTTAAATAAACTAGAAGTTTATTTTCGACACTTGTAAACAGCACAAACACTAAAAGAACTCGTTGGATAAAGAGAAATTCACAGATTTAACACTAATGAACTAATTTTCTCAAAACAAATTCATAAACTCCATTGCTTACTTGACCTACAGATGGGTCAGTATTTCAGTCGTCATTACACATCACACACCTGCAAACTTAAAATAACAGGAACTTATTAAACTTATTGGAATGTCCAACATTGTTAGCTTGAAAACTTCATTGAGTAGTTTAGTCACACATTTAAAAATCTGTTTCATTTAGGTTTAACTAAAAAAGAAATAATCACTATTTCGATGAAAGGCGTGTCATTCTTTCCCACGAAATCTAACAGTCAGCTGAGTGCGCTGGACAATTCAATCCATTACGGATCCTTCAACTCTAAAAACTGCTTGGACTTTTTTCGTGCCTAGAGAAAAGGAAGCAGGAAAAGTGAGATCACTGTATTAAATAGAATATTTTGTACACACTTATATGCATAAACTTTGCTCTGGAGGCCAGTCATAGTTTGTTGTTTATTTCTACTTTTTTTAGTCCGCACTTCTCTACAGTGTGGACAGACACCATTTTGCGGATTGACTGTGTGCAGTGTCGAGCAGCACTCATATTCACTGGCTGTACAGACAGATTATTATCTCATTTAGTAATGTCTCAAGACTTTCCGGCTGTACCTATTCAGGATGGGCAAAGCCGTGTCACCGCACCCAATTGCATCTACTAACTGCCTGGGCACGCCCGACAACGTGGGAATTTTTTTCCACTGCTTCTTGCGAAAGTCCCCTACCCTACTCGATGCTCATTACTATGTGGTAGGACCAACGATAGGACTGCCGTGTCGGTAATCACAACGTCATCATCCCGATGATGATGGAGGGCGAGAGGACGTCTCCCGTGGTCGTGTGGATATCATTGTCGTCTTCACGGTCGTGTAGACATCATAATCGTCTCCCCATATCGAGAAAAAAATTGATTTGAAAAATTAATTTCCCATTCCCATGAATACATTGTCATTGCCTCCCACGGTCACGGAAAATAATGAATAAATATTCCCCTGGAGCGGAAACATAATCATACAGTAGTCTTCTGCGATCGCTGCAAAATTCTGATCATACCCCGCGTTCAAAAGTAGACCCCTGGTAACGAAATCGTCTCCCTGGTCACTAAAGATTTTCATAATTTCCCGCATTTATGAAGACACATCGCCATGTAATTACCGAGGGGCGTGAATTGCCCGCAAAGGCTCACATGTGTGTGAGTACGTGGGTCAGCCACCAGCACCACGCTGTCCCTAGCTGGGTCACTCTAGTTTCTGTGCCCAAGAGTGACTTTGAGGCAGCCATCCACCTGTGGAAGTAGACCCGGCGAGAACTGGGGGAAACAGGTGTTCTCGGGATGTTACACGCACCCATTTCAGTGCTCTGTGTGAAAGTACAGGCATTAGTTGTTAGGCAATACGTAAGCCCTGGAAATGTATCCGGGTCACGAAACAGTTGTTGGTTCAGGGGCTCACAACCACGTTGGCCTTCTGGTCACACAGGGGCGTGAGTTCCTGTCCGCAGCAGTGGAGTGGCTTTTCTCACCAATCCCAGTGAGACCCCTCCCTGAAAGACGAGAGGGTTATACGGCTTCTTCCTTGCGGAGCGAAGGCTAAAATCCGAAGCTCCTCAGGATAAGCCGGTGAACGGAGGATAACCTCAGGATAACCTCCATAATGGAGGCCATGCTCCATAGATAGCTTCGGTCACAATGTATCAGTGTTCCCTGGGTGAGCGACCAGGGGCCGTACCGACCAGGGTTGACCCAGCCACAAGACTAGCTTCAGTCTAAAATTAGGAGGTGCTGTGTGGTTGTACCCGCAGGACCGAGGGCAAGTAGTCCTGCAGCTTGTGGATGGTCTCTTGGGGGCAGTGGTTAAAGACGGCGAAAGTCTGGTAGTCCCGAAATATGGGATGTGTATCCGTTCACGTAAATAACGGATCGGGGGCAGGCGCGATAACCTGTCTGAGAGGACATCAGGGGTTAGACCTGAATGCCTGTCTGAGAGGACGGGCAGCTAGATAGCTGTCCCACACGCTACGGTCCGGGGTTGAAATGGAGGAATGCTCTCCATCGGCCAGAACGCGGTGCACTCCTTTGGGAGTGCCGTCTTGAATAGGTCGAAGTTGACCTCTAAGACATTAGACATTAGTGCCGCATGCGAGCGAGAGCTTGAACTGTGGGGATATCTCTCATGGTCATGGCAAATAATGAATGAATATCCCCCACGGAAAGGAAAAATCGCCATAGTCATCTGCGATCGTGGCAAAATTATGTTCACCTTCCATGGTAGTGTAGACATTATCGTCGTCTTCTGCGATCGTGGCAAAATTTGGATCATCTCCTGGGGCCGTGCAGATATAATCGTCTTGCACGATCGTGGTAATTTTCTGATCGTCACAAAAGTGTCTGGTATCGGAACGACGATCGATTCTCGACACCGATAAGTTACCAATGTCCAAGTATCGGTGGTATCGGGAATTGGTATCAATAAACAACACATCCCTTATAAAAATTGGTAGGTGGCCCGTCCCGTGAGTGCCCCTCTCTCTGGATACGCCACTGAGTAGGGAGGGATTTTTAGTGAGTATAGTCTGATCAATTCAGCAGTCAACACAGCCACATATCCCAGCCACCTCTGCGTGCTTAAAATTATCATTCTGCATTCCCATCGTACAAAAATAATTAATTCAATAATTGTTAAGGTGGACAGTAAACTGTAGTGCAATGTCAGGAGAAATACTGATGACGCTGTTTATCAGTGACGGTTGTTTTGGTCTCGCCATTGATCATAATATTACAGATTAAGAAATTCCACTTTGGTGCTCATAAAATCATAGTGATCGTATCTAGATCTAAAACCATCGGTTCTAGAATTACCTAACACTAGTGGCTTGTAGGGGCAATAGCCCCTATATTATAGCTCAGAGTAAATAAAACAAAATTTGTTTTATTTACTCTGAGATTATAGTAATTACTAGTGGCTTGTAGGGGCAATAGCCCCTATATTATAGCTCAGAGTAAATAAAACAAAATTTGTTTTATTTACTCTGAGATTATAGTAATTATTTTGTACAAATTATTGGTCTCATGGGTTACCCTACCTTGAATTATCATTTAACTTTTTTATTATGATATGTATAATAGTTATTACATACCTGCATAATGTGTTTTGATGTCTGCTCTATTTAAAATACAAATTCCAAAGGATATGCGGTGTGTTTATAATATAAACTTTCAAATCATAATACAACTAAGGAACATTTTCCAATAACAATCTTCATGACTATTAATTAAATATATATAGATTTCTTTAAATATAGACAAATTCACTTAGAAAAACACATATAGAGATAATGTCATCATCCAAATTGTAAAATGCTAATTAATTCTATAACAAAATCTCTCTGAAACAACATTTGTTGTTTAGTATCCATTTTGGTCTATTCCTTGGCCTTTATTTGGTTCTAGTGCTATTAACATCATCTACCCTCTTTACCCATCTAAAAGCAATATAAAGTTGACCATGGGTAAACACTGGGATTTTCAAATAAATGCCATCTTTTGTGAAGGTTCGGCCTTGCGCCACAATTTCACCAAATCAAATTGTGCAATGCACCACAATGAATGCATCCATCGTTCATTGGCCCTATGCTGTGTAATGCAATCTCATTTAAAATTGGTAATCTATACACAGGAATAACTTCATGTTCATCCGATGCTCATTTATTCTTCTTCCATTAATATCGTGCCAAATCTGGCGCCTGTAGTTCTCATTTCGAGGAACAATACCTCTGAGTGGTAGTCTTCCGACATTATACATTATTACTGTGCAAGCCATTGTAAAGTATTAAGTGTAAAAGTATCAAATTGTTTGTTCAAAAGATTTGATCTAATTTTCACTTTGTGTTGTTTACTACTTCACTAACAACTTTAATAACAAAATAATGCACATTCAGGTGTGGTTATATTTTTCAATTTATATAATCACAGCTGTGTTTGCACTAAATAAAAAGACATAAAATTAGATTCCCATGCTATTTAAATGTGAATTGTTTTATTCCGTAATAACCTTTTGGTGCATAATTAAGAAAAATGAATAATTTTCCCCAAAATTTCATGCCCAGACCTTTAAAATGAGACCTCTCCCAGCTTTCTACGGCCTGCCGTTCACTCACAATTTCATTGTAAAATTTTGGGCTTACGGAATTAGATATATAGATAGATAGATAGATGAACCATTAGCACATGGGTGAAAAAAATAATTGATCCAATCGGATATAATTTTTTTACCTTTCTTGGTATTTTTTTACACCTTAGGCAAAGAAAGTAAAATAACAAGAAATGGAAAGTAAACTAAACAGCAGTGCTAAAAACATTCTGCCCATTTACCTATTAATTTTCAGAATCATCTTCAGCTTGCCTAACTAGACAAAGAGGTTGCCTAAAGACGCGTGTATGTCGTCACCGCCTGACGTCCTGTTTTAATTCACGCAGCTGACACCTGTCAAATATGTTAATATTGTTGTTTGTTTTTGTGTAAGTTCTGTGCGATGAAGTAAACCTTTCCTGTTTAATTTTGTTTTAGTCGAAGAAAGGCAATAAAAGTGACTAAAATGCCTCGTGAGTGGTGTTCTAATACAATCTGTATCAATAGCCAGATAAAAACTCATTAACTACACATGGTTACAGGCTTAGAATATATTTTATCGAAGATTCCCTGAGGTAAGGACGAAGAACCATGCAGACAATGGACCGTGTAAAATTACGTGATTATTTTGAACAATTTTACTGTCGATGATTACTAACGATATTTTAAAAACTGGACTGTTTAATTTAGTCCAGAGATGAGAGTACCTTTCTGAGATCTAGACTTGAGATGAGGTGTATTTCTATCGGCCAACCTCGCTTTTAAACAAAGTGGTAATGTAAGCTAAGGATCATAACTAATGTTAAGGTATAGAAATCTGAAAAATACTAGGAAAGGCAAACCACCTTTTCATTAGCCTTGCCCGTGATCCAAGGTGAGACAAAAATGGCAACGCCGCAGACCCGGTATACTAAAACAACTTTTCCACTAATTTATAAATCAGCGTCTGCTGACCAATGTTTAGGAATACTCGTCTCTTATTAATGTTATTACGCCGGCCGGCAGTATCGTAGCCAGGATTATGTCAAGGGGGGGGGCTTCACATATCTAAACTAGAAGGGGGGGGGGGTGATGGAAACTGCTGCTGCTGCTGTGGCTCAGTTTTTGTTTGTGGGCCACAGCCGTAATTGAACTATGAATTGAATTATGGGGTAAAAACTGGTTTTCCCCATTTTGACCCTAAAACAAGAAATGTTGCAATTTCTTTCCAAACCATTTTGTAGAGCTTAAATACAAATTATTTAGTACATTGAAGCATTATTATGCACCTAATGGCTACGGAAAAAATTACAAAAAGAATTAGATTTAAAATCCCTACGTTATTCTTATGGAGAACAAATAACTATTGTAGTTTGCTTGCTAATGAACATATTTTGATCAAATTTGGAAAATGAATTTATTTCATACAGGTACTAAACTACATAGTTACTGTATTAACATTTACAATCAAACACTTTTAAACCCACCCTGTTGCAGCAAACCTAAGTAAGCCCTACTTGTTAAACTAATGCTATAAGGGAATAATTTTGTGATATTTTAAAGGAGATATTTTAATGCAAATCCAATCAAGCAAATAGACATTCGCTTAGTCTGCAGGTTTGCTGCAGCAGGGGTATTTTATTTTTTTCGCAACCGTCAGAGACACATATCAACGGCGTACATCTTGTAGCGAAATTACAAAATTATTTGTTTTTAAGCTCTACAAAATGTGTTAGAAATAAATCGTGACAATTTTGTCACTTGTAAGTGTGAACCACGTACACAGCTCAGCTGGTTGAAAGATCCTAGTGTTAGTAGTAAATTTACGACATAAACAACAACATACGTTACAGTTGCTTTTACTTTAGTGGTAAAGCCGTGACCAAGTAGTTCGCAGTCCATATTATTTAGCTACAAATCCATCTACGTATCTAGTAAACGAAACAGATAGGTCTTTTACGTGAGAACTAACTCTGGATTGGAAGGGTGCCTCCCCAGGAAAAAATCACACGACAATAACTAATAGTGTAAATATTAAAATCATATAAATATCAACTCAGGACTTAAATGATCCAATGATTTATAAATTGACAAATTACAAAACTTTGCAGAGGACAGTTTTTCAAGTGATAACGTAGTGTCGGCGCCCGGGCTGGGCGGTAGGCAAACCATCAGTCAATATTACTGATAAGAGCGTGAGTGTGCGTGCGGGCGAGCTGGTGCGCATGCGCGGAAAGCCAAACTGCTGTAAGAGCTCAGTGTGTGCGCGAGAGTCGTAGAGTGTGGACGTACTCTGCAGCTGCTTGGGACCTGTTGATAGCACAACTCTGTGCTAACTTTACCGTTCCCTGGCTGTTATTTGCAAGGTATAATTCAAATCGTGCATTTACAAGGGCACTACTGATTGTGGTTTGATAAGTTGTTTAAAATTAAATATTAGAAGATGATACATGAAGGCAATTTGTATTGGTTGTAAACGTAAACGCTGCGAATGATTTATTCGATTTTAGATGCAGCTTTCCACCTATTCCATTGTATACTATTTCGTTAAGATTACAGAAAAATGCATTCTTAAACAGATGATATACGTTCGAAAGTTAAAAACCAAGTTTTGTCGTGAGTATGGAGGTCTTGCTCTAAGTCCGAAATTGATGACACGATGAAAATTCAATAATGTTTTCAAAAATCTATACATTTCTTTGAATTATAATTAAGTTAAAATTGTAATAACTCATTTTCTCGCTGGGATTATTGTGAGTTTTAACTGTCAACATTTCGATTTGTGTCATATTTTATACTCAAAAGTCTCAGCTAACAGGGAACTCATGAAAATATTTGAAATAACTTTTTTTTCGGATAGACCCAAGGAAATTATACAGGAATACTCAGAGCCAATTTAGTGGAAAATAATAACAGTTTATATTTTAAGGAAACAATTAAAAGGGTTTTAAAACGTATAGTACTGGATGGAAGAAGTTTCACCTGTCGATATAAAGATTCGAGATTGAATGCCGTGGTTTATAATTAATTAGTCAAATCTAAGATCAAAATCGTACTTGAGGGAAATGAACAAATCGATCCGTTTATCATGTTTTGGTTTGTGTCAATTGTTATTAATACCCGGGCATGGATATAAAACATACACAAATTACGTCACTAGTCCGAATCTTATAATACTGAGAACTCTTGCTGCTCCGTAGCGTTGAAATACATATCATACCCGAGAAATAAACAAATTTATGATTTTTTAATGAATAATACACTATCTTGAACTTAACTGATTTAAACAGTTAATAGCTCAAATTAAAGCCTATAATTTAATGATAATTTTGAGTCTAAAATATATAAAAAACATGAACAATACTGGAGCTATTGATTTTTAATCACAACAAAACCTTATAAAAATAATCTTTATGTTGGTTATTCACCTTGCGTTTGCTTGAAACACGTCCGATTTGAATAACTAATAGCTTTTATAAAAGCCCGTATTTCATTAAAGGTTCTTAGACCAACATAAATAGGATTGTATAATTACAACTGGTGAAATATATGTTACATTGAAGTAAGAATTAAATATGAATCGAATTTATGTTCTTGGTCGAGTAATACAGTAGATAAATGTATGCCGATGCTTGATGTGAAAACTGTGCGTGCATACCTTCAATTTGAAACCTCAAGGCCCCTCGCCCACTATACAATTTCGGTCGTACGACACTGTGTCGGAACGACAACATTTCCACAGTGAACCATTGGATCTTATGAGAGCTCGCCCACTGTACGATAATCTCACGACTACGACAAACTGTCGTGAAGCAGTCGTCCACTGCCACTGTGATACACGACTGTCGTACGACTGTTTCACTCGCAGTGGCGTACACAATCAAATGGGCGCTCGCCCACTATGCGATTTTTATCGTATGTCGTGCGTTCTCCCCAGTAGTCTTATATATACTTTTTGCAATTAACTCATACTTAGTCATTATTATAGTTGTTAAATCACTTTGCGTATTTCTTATCGTGAATAAATATTTTTTTACAATTCATTCATACTTTTTTATTATAATGTTTGATATATCACTTGGTCTTATTTTCCAACCATTATTTTGCGTAATTTTGATCTTCCTATTTATTTTTTACAATTTGTTTATATTTTTCCTTATATCTATCTATCTATATATTAATAGGCAAGCATGTTTCTTTAAAACCTTTTTTCTCAGCTCGTGTGCATCGTAGGGAAAATCTACGCATACCGTTAGAAAGCTATTTTCCTGTAGGTGTGCAGAATCCCTTTATAAATTTAAATAGGCTCAAAGATAAGCGCAAAAAATGAGTTTAAAAATTTGAAAAAATTTACATGGATCTTATGCGTTGCCATGCTGGTGACGAAATAACAACGAAATATAAACAGAAAATCAAAACAAATGGAAGAAACTCCAATCACATGTTTTATTTACAGTGTGGGGTGAAACATTAACATAAGTTAGTACATTACATATTTTTGGTCGAGTTTCGACCACTGGATATTACTCGTACTTATTTAATACGCAAGCAGGTTTTTTGTGACAATTACTCCTCAGAAACTACTGAACCGATTGACATGTTTTTGGTGTCGTTGGAAAAAGCGTAACGTGAAGTTGTGCAGGAAACTTTCACTTTAGGGAAATAATTAGAGAGTGAGGCCCTGGGGCCCTTTAAAGTTTTGTATTTCTCCATAAGATTAACAAGGGAAACAAAAATTATTATAAAACCCCAGCTGTTGTTAGAAATTAAAAGTGAGAAGAAGAACATATGTAAATTGTAAACAGTCAATAAGTTTGCTAATTTAACAGTTTACTACAAACATTTACTGACTTGGTAGAAATGAAATATTCACTATTTGAATTTGGGTTGGCGTAAATATTACAATGGAAGAAAGCTAGAGAGCCTGGATGGATTGATATACTAAAAAGAAAACTCAATTAACACTGTGCTGCATTTCTTAGTAATCATTGAAAGAGCCGATTTGCAAACTATGGTAACATAGGAAAGTCATAGAACACCACCAAGAAGAAGAAATGGAAATCATGTTTTTTAGAATTTATAATCGTTATTATGGACAACCTAATGTGGCTAAGGGTAAGGCTATTTGTAGAAAACACTAAAAAAAAGATCAGCTTTTGAAAAATGATAATATATTTGCAAGAACTGTTGATTATATCGATCTGTTAGGTACATCTTGAGTATTTCCATAATCTTTGAGTCGAATCTTTTAAAGTCATCATACATTATGACTGTTATTCGTTTTAAAATAACTAACGCCTGTAATACTTAGCAATTGCTCGAATTCGAGCAACAGGGACACTAGTTATGTTTAAATACTGCATCACTTATGAGTAAATATAACAAAATAATTATTGAAAAATTCGAGTTTGGCTATTATTATTGTATAATCTTAATTATTAATTATATTGTGTAAAAAAGTTTCACTAAAACATATAAATATATATTTTTGTAGATTATATTGATAAAATTAAATCTATTTAAAAACTAATCCAAAAACAATTAACATACATACTTTTTACCAGACTATCCCAAAACCCTATGATAGTTATGGTATATTTAAAAACTTGTAAAATGCATGGACTAATATAATTTGAAAATTTCTTTCAATACATTAACTAAAAAATAATTTACACATAAAAATAAATGTTTCTTTAATGATGTAGGCCTACATTGGCCACTATCGCTTAATCTACGCCACAGCAGCCACATTGCAACAACAGGTACGGAATCATTGTTTTACTATTTGATACAGAACCACTGTTTTAAGATATTGCGCAACACACCCACACCTCACTCTTCCAGGGCTACCGAGCAACTGGCCATTTATCCGACAAAGTGTCGTAAAGTGGGCGAGGACCACACATATGATAAGAATATCGTACGACACAGTGTCGTACGACCGAAATCGTATAGTGGGCGAGAGGCCTAAACATGAAAATCGGTCAGGTAGAAGAGCCAAACTAACTCGGAAAAGAAAAACCATTTTAACTCCCATAAGTAATACACGGGGGCAAATTTCGTTGACGTATAAGCCGAGTGGGAGCGTAGATAATTATACGCCGATGCTTGTTGTGAAATATGTGCGTGCTACCTTCAATTTGAGACCTCAATCATGAAAATCGGTAGGGTAGAAGACCCAAACGAACTCGGAAAAGAAATAGCTAATTTTTTTAATATGGTTATATAAGAGTATGTGATTGTACGTGTATACCTGTTCATACGCTGCAAATAAACGTGTAAATATGCAGGTCAATGAATAAAAGTATAAGGAACCAACGCTAAAAAACTAAATGGAGAGATTGTTTGATTGGAATTTTCTACTTTACATTTATCCCAATTGATACGAAATATCCCCTGTCTCGTAAAGTATACAAAATACCAACCAGTCTTAAAGACTTAAATACATTTCTATACCATTATACACTACATAAGATATATCTATAAAAAACAGTCTCCTTGAGTATATTTTCAATGATGTTTAATGTCAAAGGCCTCAAAAGAGCAACCACAGGCCATTGTTTTGAACGTTTAAAGCGGAGAGACAACTCTTACAACTCTTGTGTTATAGAGACGGGGACTCTTCAGTGAGTAGATATAATAGGACAAAGATACCCCACTTTCGGCGTTTTAGAGGCACTTTTAGGGCATTTTTTATAGGGGAAAAATGAGAAAAATGAGTGGCTCATTTTTTTGGCCACTTTTTTAAAGACCCAGCTCTCAACCTATACACCCCTATATAAATTTTCTACTTTTTTAATACTGAAAAACACGTCTGGAATATGGCTCATTTTTTTGGCCACTTTTTTAAAGACCCGGATCTCGTCCAATACAAACCCATAGAAATGTTCAAACTCCATTAAAATTTTAAATCCACATCCATTCCCATGTATATTTTCAAAATCATGTGAGGTTTGCGCGCGAACTCGGGCACGCTTATGGCTATGCGTAAACTATGCCTGACTCAAATGAATGACTGTGAGTGTAACCTAATGACCCCAATCAAAATCAATTGTCAACATTCTCTGCCTGTCTGGCGCCAGACTGTCTGGTGCCAGACTGTCTGGCGCAGGTTTAGACAATTACCAAATATGTTTGATTGATTGACCTCAATTATTCAATTGTTCAATTTCAGTTTGTTCAATTTCCATTGTTAAGTTCTAAATTAATTTAGACAATTTTGTGGTATATAAGGGGGGCATTCTACGGAATCATCACTAACTCTTCCACCTGGATCTTCTTGTTTTGGTAAGTCTTTGACATCTAAGCTAGACTATTGTAATATGTTGTCGCGTGTCGGGTCATGGGATCAATTGGTGACGTAATT